GAGCTCCAGATTGGACCAAATATGTTTACATAACCTTACGTCATGACCCACGATTTTATTACGCCCAATTAACCAGTGCATATCAGTATATTGCACAAAACGAAACTAATGGCGTGACAAACGAGGCTATCAAAACGGATACAAAGTAAACAATACTGTTTGGAAACGAACAATACTTTCGCCGTTGTTGATACCTCAAAGTTTTAGAGAAGACCCCCAGATTAAACGAAGGACTGTCATGTTGCTGTACTTGGGATAGATTTGATTGAACGGGAAGAATAGACACAATGCCTCAAAAGCTCAAGTATCGGTAGTCAATCCAGCAATGGCCGGAGAGGGATTTCTCGGGCCATTGCTTCAGGAATATGAACAACTTAGGATATCAGGATGCTGCAGCCGTTTTGCATCCAAAAACCTAACGCAAGTTACGTACCATTTGAACTTCATTTTAGTTTCTACTGATTTCCAGCAGCCACCTTTATGCGACTTTAAGACTGGAAAACAGATCTACGAACATCAAGACCATCATATTATCTAACCTACAATTTCCGCTATAGTCTCTGAATTACCATTTAGATAATACTTTTAGTCCTTATCTTTATTCATTGTAAATATTAGTTTATGCTGTCGTTTATATTTGTTTTTCCAACTACTAAATAATTAAATATTCAACCTAGTTCGGGTACGACTCAATCCGGTCGGGCGTTTCCGGTTGTTCAAAAGGTGATTTTCTTCATAAGACCTGAAGGCGAAAAGTTCTTTTATTCGATACTTGAAAGTTATCCCAGTATTTGCGACATCTTTTAATTCTTAGCTAAAAGATCAATAACAGATATGCGATAAGTTTATAGAATAGATTAACGTCTGTGATGTGGTATCGGTTTTTGGAAATCCGCTAATCCAGTAAATTTTCAGGGAGACTAACTGGTGTCTTTATTCTATTATTTGCTTTTTTTCTGTAAAATGTCACTTTAATTTTGTTGCTGGTGGTATGGTTCTAATCATGTGATCGATAAGAAATTTGTCCTAGACGATCTGGTAATCCGGACATTAAGCTGTAATTTCTGTTTGCGTGTTATATCTTGGTAATACTCACAAACTCGACATTTGGTTAAACGTGTTGTTTTTAAACTGTGAAATACCTCAACAAGTATACTTTATTAGATATTTAAATGTTAAAAATGTTGTATTCACTATAAATATGACCTGTACTTGGTGGAAAAGGTGAACAGAAAATCAAAGGATAACTATTGTATGTTTTCATTTGATCATTTAATCACACAAGGCGTCTGATATACTCGTAGGTCTTCAATGTTGTTACTAATCTGAAGAAGACCGCCGTTAACATTAGCGACTTTCTCCAAAGACGACACTGGAATCACAGTTTTTTTCGGGGGGGGGGGGGTGTTTATAAAGAAAATGTGCTCACATTTTCTCTCGTATGATGGTCTGATGGCTTGATTATGAATTAACATTATTTCGCCATAAAAACAACCTCAAACGTGAGCAGTAAATACCTTTGTTTATGGTGATAACCGCGTCCTGGAGAAGGTGGGGTTGTCTATACGTCGTTTTATCATTTATTTTCTAGCCAGTGCAACTCACAAATGAATCCCCCTCGAATAGATGGTAAGGTATAAGACCGGCATGTTTTAAGGAAACTGAAGCACTGGGGAATTAGGTTGTCAAGGAGGGTTGGCTCCCTACGGGCGCTAGAAAAGTTTTGAATGGATCTGGTACTGGTATGAATACTCGGAGTAAACATTTTACTATCCTGTTCACAACAACACGAATGCGACCGACACCGGGGGTAAAGGGAAGATAAAAGTGATAAATACTGCAGAAATGGCAAAGTATTGCCCAACTGCCGAAAAATATATTAATTTGCTTTTATGTTAGATAAAGTACTGCACCCTGTGTATGCTACAAAAAACCTCATCAAGAAAACTACGTTAAACAAATACCTCGGCCTACGGCCTCCATATTTCTTTTAGTTCAGTATTCGTTCGTGATATGGAAACCCGTACAAGTATGATTTTCGAAAACATTCGGATGTTTCCTTTAATTTTATGGCCGTATTAATGAGCTCTTGGCAAAACCATGATAGATTCAAAAGAAATCTTAGTGGTAATAATATACATGATTTGTTTAACTTTGAATATTAATGTATAAAATATAGATAATGTAAGATTGGTGTAATGTCCGTATTATCGATCCAACTAAATAACAAAGATAGAACCATTTTCTGTTCTCATTCCTTAACGTCCATGAGATGACAAACTAAGACCAATAAATCCCCACATAAAGCTCAGCTTGAACATCAACTATTAGCTCAGGGAATGTAATCTATTTTTTTTGCTGTCAAGATGGAAAAGGTATCTTGTAGAGAAATGTTCCGGTACAATCTGTCATGCGGTGTTTTTCTCGGCTAACTTTTATAAATAAAATATGACCTATTTTTCATTCTTTAACCAATATGTCGACTAAACTGCGATGATTTGATGGTACAATTTCGATATATGTTACAACAATATGACAGCAAATCAACAGCTTCCTGCAGATTTTCCAATTTAATACATTTTATATGAACAATCTTTTTGAATTTAGATCATTCTTACTTTTTTTCCAAGGTTTGGTTAATAAAGATACATATTCCATCGCGTAAATGATATCTGATTCTTTCAAATGAAGTACATATAACAAATCATCAGATTTGGGTTAACTGGAAAAATATCGGTATTACCAAAGGCAATAAATAATATTGATGGGTTACTCAAAGTCACGCGAGAGGGTATCACAGTTGTAAAAGGCTTGTCATTGTTATTCTAATTCTTAAATATGTGCCCTTTGGCGCTGGAGTGATAATATTTGTTTGCTTTCTGGACAACCGAACACTTTGCAGGGTCGGTTTAGGTAAGGGTAGTTCGTAGATTTAAAGGTTCTTCTGGTTGTACGTTCATCCTCTCGCGTGTCAAACTTTGATTGGTAATCTCAGGGAACGAGTGGAACGCCTTTGTTTTACTTATCTTCGGGTCAAAATTATAGAACCCCCTTATCAGATATTGTTGCTTTATTAGAACTTGTGAAGTTAGTGTTTTGAACTTGATAATGATGTCAGAATTGGCAAAGATGTTCATTCAAAAACATCCAGAACGTCTACTTGCAAAAACGGGAGAAAATGTAGCAAATGGCACATACACACGTGTGTTTCATTGGCAAGCATAATTATAAACAAAAAAGGTGTATATACAAGCAGATGTCTTCTATTTAACAAGTCTATTTGTTTATACATATCCTATTATAAAAGACACGCAGATCTCTAGACAGAAACAACGTTATAGCAATACGTCTGTTTAGGAATGGAGCTCGTTAGTCTCACCAACATTATTCTGAGTGTGTACCCGTTGGCCACAATTATATTAATTGCTATAAAAAGTGTTTAGTTCTAATTAAAGCCACGGTATATTTTAATTTGATTAGAAAATACATGTTTAAAACAAAATTAAATTAAAGTTGAGTTATATACCACGTAGACGAACTGCCGTTTTCTTTTTTAAAAATATACTAATATAACTCATAATAACACAAGCGTTTATTAGTATTTCTGTTCACTTTTAAATATAAACGTTGATATTCATCACGTATTTCCAAATAACTATAGCGTATGTGTTTTTATTTTTACCAGGTGTCGCGGGTTAGATCCCTGTATTGGCCGAAAAGGACCTTGGGTTTCAGGCGTGGCTTCACCTTGTCAGAAATGCAGGATGACACAACGTCTAGTCGTTCGGATGGGGTGATAACCCGGGATACAGCGTACACATTGACGTACACATAAAATAACACTTGGCAGTTTCAATTCGGCTATAGCACCGCTAACCCTCTTAGCACACTACACGGCGTATGCTCATCTTCATTACCCCTTCATTAGCCCTTGGAACACTCTCGTCACGTCATGGTGACATGCAAACTGCCAAAAAAAAAAAATAATTACAAAGTTATTATTGTTTATATAATATAAGTTTCTGTAATAGCGAATTTGTAGAATAAAACCGTCGTTTTTTCCTCAAAATCATAATATAATTTGCAACGGAGAGTATGTTTTGTCACAAGTCCGTTTAGCTTTCAAAATCGATGTAATTCAGAACATAATTTATTTATTATTGGAAATAGCTATTATCAAAAAAGTCATATATTGTGTATGATTTAAAGAGGACATTTTCGATCTGGAATGATTTGCTGTCGGTGGCTCGGTACCTTATTTATTTCTTATGCGAACCTCGCATTGATATAATTGCAAGAAAAATTGCCAAAATGCATAACATACAATTCAGTATTAAATAGAACTAAAAAGACATAATAATAAAAAGCAAACAAGGAAAATGTGTAAATAGATAAGAAATATAACATAAATCAAAGCTTTTGGCTAATAATACAGTTGAGTTGTTGATTGATTTCAAAGTTTTTGTATAAATGCGCCTCATTCATTTGCCCTTTTAAGTACTCCTGCATTACCCAGGGGGTACGTAAATCTTTTACTAAACTTGCGTGTCTAATTTGCCTATACCTTATAAATTCCAAGTTGAAGATACAGTTATGTTCTATGTGAAAACTGATGTGAAAACTGATGTAGTTTCACTCGTGCCAAACCGAATACCAAGTCAAACTGCTACGGCAGTCGGCGTCAGATCATAAAATAAAAAAACTGTGGTCCAAGATACCAAGTAGAAAAAAGGCACTACAACGGGTATAAAATTTGTAGTAAAATTTAATTTCTTTCCGAAAGTAATATTTCCGCTTTTACATTTCCATATTAATTTTTACGTTAGCTTTGTTGCACCAAAAGGGAAATGAATGCCAGATTCTACCATCTCAACTATAAAGCTGTGAAATACCGTAATAATAAAAAATGTGAGTTGAGAATTCCCGTTATTCAGGGTTATAAGAAATGCTCTACTTTCACATTCTTAGTTTAGATTTTATTGTGTAATAATTTATTTCAGGTTGTGCTTTTCTAACCTACTGTTCTAGAGAAAGTGCTATTAAAGCTCAACAGTCGTTACATGAACAGAAAACATTACCAGGGGTAAGTGTACTTATCACAAATTAATACTCTTACATATATCGGTAATATTAAACAGAAATACGCCCACATACATACATGTAGATCTATATATTTATTATATATCTTATTATATATATGAATCATACAAAGATCGTCATAAAAACAATACAAAATGATTACATATACATTGTGATATACAAAAATTGTTATGATTACATATACATTGTGGTATACAAAATTTATTATACATGCCGATGCATATATACCATTAAAGACATATACATAATATGGTACGGACACAGTTATATAGATACTAACGCCGTTATACAGATATATTGTGATATTGACACCGTTATAGATACGCTGTGATATTAACTTTGCTATAGATACGTTGTGATATCATTACCGTTATAGATATGTAAAAACATACATGTAGATACGTTGTAATAAACACACCATTTATAAACATGGCTAAAGATACACTTACGGTATGAAACTAAAACATCGTTATAGATATCATATGCTACAAAATTTGTTATTAAAACATTTGGATACAAACATACCTTAGTTACTTTAGTATGTAAATATTGTATATTCATTAAACAAATTATATAAATTATACCTCAAGCAGATCAGAACATTATAACACAAACATTGTTATATAAAAGATGCATTCATTATGTTGTATATTATACTTCATTCAGATAATATATAAATTAATACATAGTTAATTAGTTACAAATACATTATGAAATGAAATCGTTATAAATTGTAATTTTAGCAAATGGAGTACCCCCCCCCCCCACGCCCACTCTACTTTCGCGTCCATATTTCAACAATAGACAGATAACGCGGACAGCTACTTATATCAACTTTTTAAAATTTCGTCCCTCCCTATCTTAATCCGTCGCCTGTCAAACCTCGTGGGTTTTCTCTGGGTCCTCCGGTTTCCCCCCACTGCTAAAGACCCCATTTCTCTCTCTTTATTTTAATCCGAGTCTCTGTTCCCATTAAGTATATTTGGTTAGAATATAGTAACAGGTGGACCAACATCAAAAATATGAATATTAACTGAGATGAGTGGTTCATTATAAGATTTAATGTTGTATAGAAATAATATTATATAATACTGTATGGTGTTAATAAGTTATATGATGAGACACTGTATGGTGTGTAAAGTATCAACTCTGTAATTACTTATTATAAACGTGTTGACTTATATGATCATATCACACGTAAAGGTGCCAAATCAAATTGGATATGTTGTTATGTAAGACGAACACATAGTTTCATCATCCACCACCACTGTATAATTAGTAATAAATATAGGTAATATCTACACACGTAAACTACTTATACTAGTATACATCATAGTACCATTCATTACCTACACACGATAATTGTTCAAATAATACGATGGATTTTCAAATCGTCACAATGTCTTTAAACGTTAATTTTTACAAAATTTTACAATTTGGGTACATGTTTTTGTATATGAACAATTTATGGTACAAAACAAAAGTAGGCGTGATAGCTCTACTTTAATTATGATTTGACGAAAGTGGATATAAGTGCCATAGTTTCAATAATTATAATCACAGTTCCAGTGTCGCTGGATTGTACGGTATTTCGGACACAAATATTTTTACCCCCTTACCCTTTTCTCCCAGTTCTGAAACCTAACAAGTTACCACTTATTTAACCTATGTGGCCGAACGTCAATCTACCTACTGAAATGTCAAGGGAATATTTATATTTATCCATGTAAAATTACACACGATTATCACGACGTAACTTACTTTTGATGCTCCAAGTTGGCGTGATATAGTTTATTCTGGGAATGGAATATTTGTTGAATTAGTTTTAATGTGGTTTATGATAATCGTAAATTAATAGTTGACAATTAATTGAACTTTTCCGGTATCCCCTAGTGGTTTTAAGAATTTAGCGACTTCTATATTTAGACGTAGTAAAACAGTTTTTGTTAATAATTAATGTCCGTTATATTCCATAACAAAGGAAAACATTTAAAATCAGAATACAAGTATTATAATATAAGAATGGTTCCGACTGTCTGCACTAAACAATGGTACCCTTCATGTCACCTGGATTATGTATATAGTATACATATTTATACTACGGAATTCGATGCATTATATATATCCTTAGATTAGTGCAATGTCCTTCAGACTTTGGAGGTTGATAACTTTGATTGGGGAAACTAGGTGTATAGTTTCATTAAATCAACACCTTGACTAAGTACGATCATTAAATTAGCTTAGTCTCTAACTCAATATCATCCAAAATCTTCGACATTGAAAACACGATTTATTTGTCGGTTTAAAGTTGCAATTGCAAATTTTCAAGTTATATTTTTAAAATGTATTAAAATAAAGCCTTAAAATAGATGGTATCCATAAACAGTCCTACCTTGTTAAAGAATAATCCTATTAATCCTATAATTCGCTATTGCCAGCTGAGAAATTGGCAAAAATATCATTTTTAACTTCAAATTCCAACGTTGGAAATTGGCTGCCCCATGTTGTCAATAGCAAAACAGGGGAGGTAATTGTGTTGTTATTTCCTGTGTCATAGATTTTTAAGGGTGGGAAATAATGCCCGTGATCGTATAATAGTGATTTGATAACCTATTAAGCAAAAGACTTTCTTAGAAAATTTGAAATTCTCGCTTTAAATCAACATTGATGTTGTGATCTTACCGGGAAAAGATGGATTTCTGATATCCAATATTTAAGACAAAATAAACATTTTACAATTGGTACACGAATCGTGTACCATAATGCGTTTCAGCGCTAATTGTAATAAGGGACTCGAAAAACGAGGCAAGGCATATTCCACAAGTCATGTCAAACGGTGACGCTATATTCTTATCTGGAGAGCAAGCCCAATAAATAATATCGGCGTAGACTAGAATAACCAGACGCTAGAGATTAAAATTCGATTGACAATACTGGCGTATTTCGCCGAACCTAACTGATTAAAAATTACAGTAAAAACAGAAACGATTGAATGTAAATCAATTTATACATTCACATTACATTATTGTATGCGTTGCGACCCATTTGTGTCAATTTTAGGTCCCAAATATTAGCGACTTAGCTCCTTTAACATTTTCTGCTTAGGCAAAGCCAAACTGATTGAGGCAAAGTTTGATGTCCTTGCTTTACAAAAAGAAAAATATGCAATTAATTAATTAATATGTGTCATCTGTTTATTTTGGGATTAAGGCGGGTGATATTAGCCTCATGGTTGGCTTGTTATATAACCGAGGAGTACTGGTTAGAGAGGCAGACACTGTTCATGCACCATACGCTGGCAAATTCCCATGGTGTGGAATTTGGTACGTTTGTTTTAAAAAGTTTGCAAAATTTTACTGGTAATTACTGTTGAACAGTCTGTGATTCCATACACATTCCTTTCACCGGTTCTTAACAGCGAATATACAGAGTTTTTTCCAAAGTTTTAAAACATCTTAAACCCGTAAAACTGTCTGGTCACGGTAAATGTTAGTTGTATAAAGTAAGCGTTTACCCAGCATGTACATTCCTGGATATGTAGTTGATAAACAGATAGCGTATGTTATATATAAACTATAATAATAGATCTAATCAATTAACTTACTTGCCTATATGGACATTATTATAGTGTTTTGTGGAACAAATCCTTTTACTTTAATGAAATATCTTACACGAATAGAAATCCTTTAAATTTACTTCTGGAAATAAAATTTTAACAATTCATAGTTTCATATACGTTTCACCGTATTTCACATATCACGTCTAGCTAATATTCAGGACAGGTTTTAGACACCTGGACCGAAAGCTATAAATTGGACACCGCGCCCAAGGGAGTGGTTGCAGCGTTAGAGTAATCTACTCTAGTCAGTTATTGTCATATTTAAGAAATCATTTCACCGAAACAGTCCTTGGCTGTCAAAATTGGACACTGAAGCTCCTGAGACCGACCATGGTGTAGTTGTTCGTTAAGTGAATGATTTGGCTGAGTTTGTTGATGAACATTTATTGCTTATGCTATGCAAAGATGAGCATTTTCATTGGTCAAATTTTGTAACACTACAGCTCTGCTTTTAATTGAGTATAGAATGTTCAAACACTTGGCGTATAAGTTCGTTAAGTGAATACTTTGGCTGAGTTCGTTGATGAACATTTACTGCTTAGGCTATGCAAAGATGAGCATTTTCATTGGTCAAACTTTGTAACACTACAGCTCTGCTTTTAATTCGTGCATAGAATGTACAAACACTTGGCGCATATGTTTATGTGGTGGATGAGCGGACATTCCCAAACAAGGGCATTGCTACCGCTGCAATATACGTCCACATTCCTGCTTTGATTAATAAGGTACTTTTTAAAATGAAGAGCATGGAATATGAAATGGCTGCAATGACTATAATATGACGAGAGGCAGAGAAGGCTAGGCGTTGGGGTTTGTTTCGCCAAATGTACAGACTAAATATTAACAAAAAAGTGGGTGTGACTACGCCCCAGGGATTCGGGGCATGCACCAAAATAAATAGTTGCTGTCTTTGCGGTATAAAGAATAAATATGCAAAGTTCCAAGATGATCCATTCAGAATTGCAGTCTGTAGACAATAAACACAAAAATTGGGCGTGGCTGTGCCCCTGAGGGTTGGATATGGAACAATATAAATAGGTACAACTCTGTTATTGAAACTATTGATATGCTGAATTTAAAAAAAATCTGTTAAACATGCATTATGCAAGAGCTAAATCTGATTATTGCAAGTCTTAATTTAGGCTTCAGATGTTATAGAAATTATAAATTAGATCTTTATTTAAACAACAAGACCAAAATCAACTCTGTAGACCCACGGATGGCTCGGCTACAGCTCGGATTTAAATAGGATTTCTGATAAGGGGTAACCTGATGAAAATACGTCAGTTAGATCGAGGCTAAATGATAGAGTGTACTTAGCGAGGCCGCTGTAAAGCGTTTCCGTATGCCATTGAAAACTTTAC